TTATATCTTTAAAAATGTCAATAGTTGACAAGATACAAGGTCATTTTTTAATTATTGATATTTTTTAAGATATAAGCTCATCCTGATGTTTAACTCATCAAGAGCTTTCATTTGAGTACCCACATGTATTTTGATATATTTTTTATATATTCATATATATAAATATATAAAATATATAAAAAATTGATGTGGGTACTCAAATGAAAGGTCTCGATGAGTGTAACATCAGGATGATTTTATATCTTTAAAAATGTCAATATTTCACAAGATAAAAGGTCATTTCTTTATTATGTATCTAGAGATAGAGCATTTTCGAGAGATAGAACAACTCCAGGTCAAGACTTTTCCAACGATACCAAATTTAATCATAAAAATCCATCATATAAATACACTGGCCACAAAATTTTGCTTATTCTCTTAATAATATAGAATAATTTAAGAAGAAATTCTACGAAAAAAATTGCATACAGAATTTTCAAAAATAAAATTTTTATTAAAAATGTAATAATGCTGATGAATTAATTCCGGATTTAATTAAATCTCACAAATGATTTAATTTAAAAAATCACTTAACATTGTTTAATTAAATCCAACAATTCCATTAATTAAATATCAGAGAGGTGTGATTTTATATATTAAATTCTTTACTAAAATGACTCTTCTCGATTTACTGCAAACCGAGTTCAATAATTGTACACTGAGTTACCCGATTTGGATAATTTTATCATTTTATTTTATTATACAATACATGATGGTCATTGATGATGATAATGGTGATATGAGTGCACTTTATTCGCTTTGATGTTGTAAAGTGAATGCTTTTATTATTCTTATTTTTTTAACTATTATTGTTACTATTATTATTAATATATATGCATTGCAATCGAGACTAATTTTAGACACGCTTCACATGGTAATTTATTTATATTTATGCGCTAGCAATATACCAAAAAATAAAACACACAAATACCAAAAATATGTATGTACGTATATGTAAAGTATAATCTTTATATATATGTATATATAAATATAAAATATGAATAAATGAAAACATAAATATATATGTACACTTGTTTGATGTTTAGCCTGGTACTCTATGTACGAAATAGAAAACGGTTTGCAAGTCTCATCAAGACTGAGCTCATCGTCCTCTACTTATTTACATTTGTAACTCTTCTTAATTTATTTAATTTAATTCTTACTCCTCTTAATATAATAAATTATAATATTATTTAAATTAATATCATTTAAATTTTTTACATAATCATTTTATTAATAATAAATAATAACATTGAGTGTAACTAATTAAATGAAACAAATTGAAAGCAAACTCATCTAACTAACTCATTATGCTTTACCATGCTGCTCGCTTGACTTTAGGCATTGGTGAGTAAATAACATAATTATTTCATTTAAAATTAAATTGTTAACTAATTCATTGAATTTAATTAACTGAATTAATTAAAATTTTACAGGCACCAGATGGTGAAACTCAACCGAGTGCGGAAGTGGATCTTTTTATATCAACGGAAAAAATAATGGTATTAAATACAGATCTTAAGGAAATAATGATGGACCACGCACTGAGAACTATATCTTATATTGCGGACATCGGAGACTTGGTAGTGCTGATGGCCCGAAGACGTTTTGTACCTCATGAAATGGAAGAGGCTCCAAAGATAAATAGAACGCCAAAGATGATTTGCCATGTGTTTGAGAGCGAGGAAGCTCAATTTATCGCCCAAAGTATTGGACAAGCGTTTCAGGTTGCTTATATGGAGTTTCTAAAAGCCAATGGCATCGAGGATCACAGTTTTGTTAAGGAAATGGATTACCAGGAAGTTCTAAACTCCCAGGAGATATTTGGCGATGAGTTGCAGATGTTTGCCAAAAAAGAAATGCAAAAGGAGGTAAACATATCTTTCCAGATGCCATAAAGGCGTATTATTGCTCTAATCAGGTCTAAATTCTTCTATAATTAATTTAAATCAGGATGTTGTAGACCAAAATGATGTTATGTTTTTATTTCATTTATTTTAACATGCGACATTTCGTCAGTTTTATTCTGACATCAGGCTATTTACTATAAAAAGTATTAATAATAATAATAATAATAATATTTATTTATTAGCAATTTGCTATTCAATTTTAGAAAATTTTCAAAACAGTTTACAGATTATAACAAATATGCCATGCTTGATCAAGTAAATGTTTTTTTGTCAATACGTATTTTTAACATAGTCCTTTAGTAGTCATTTAAAGCTTTTTAATCTATTTTCTAATCTTATATATCGTCTGGTAATTTATTATAATAGTTGAAGCCTTTGTAAGTTAAACATTTTTTTGCTGAGTGTGTACGAGTAGATATTACATCGATAGAAGAACAGTTTCTCGTTTTATATCTGTGCTTATTTTCAGTTTTTACAATTTTTTTATACAAATATTTAGGTATTTTTAATTTAAAATGACTTTATGTATTAGTATATTAATTTTTAATATGAAATATTGTTGACGAGGTTTTTAGTATATTTAATTGGATATGGTTCATTTTATTTACTACAGACTCTAACTATAAAAAATAAAATAAAAAAATTTGTGTATATTAAAATGTCATGTTAAAATAAATGAAATAAAAAATGTAACATCATTTTGGTCTACAACATCCAAATTTAAATTAATTATAAAGAAGTATAATAAAAATTTTATTTTTTTTTCTAAGACCTAAAAAATTTTTAGTCTGGAAAAGATTTTTTTTGCATTTCTGCACATTTCATGAAAAAATACGTTGGTTCCCAAAAAAAAAACTTTTTTTTTTTTCGAGAATCAACTTATTTTTTAATAAAACGTGTAGAAATTGCAAAAAAAAAAATTTCTCCTAATTAAAAATTTTTTTTGGACTTGAAAAAAAAAATAGAGTTTTTATTATACGCCCTTATGGCATCTTCAACGCGATATGGCTGATTATGGAAATTAAAATGAAGCTAATTGTTGCTAGAGATGGTAGCTTTTAATTAATACGATAAATTATTCCAGGTGGTAGTACCCAAAGCAAAAGGCGAAATCCTGGGTGTGGTGATCGTAGAATCTGGATGGGGCTCGATGCTACCTACGGTAGTGATAGCAAATCTTGCGCCAGCCGGTGCGGCCGCACGTTGTGGTCAGCTCAACATTGGCGATCAGATAATTGCTATTAATGGAGTATCACTTGTAGGATTACCATTATCAACGTGCCAGACTTACATTAAAAATTCTAAAAATCAGACAGTGGTTAAGCTTACGGTTGTGCCATGCGCTCCGGTAGTTGAAGTGAAGATTAAGAGGCCGGATACTAAGTATCAACTAGGATTTAGTGTACAAAATGGTGTAATATGTAGTTTACTGAGGGGTGGAATTGCTGAGAGAGGTGGCGTGCGTGTGGGCCACAGAATAATCGAGATTAACAATCAGAGTGTTGTTGCTGTGCCACATGAGAAAATCGTTAATCTCTTGGCTACGTCTGTTGGGGAGGTAAACTTATTATTTCACGATCGATAAATAACTAATTAATATAGCATAATACTGTATAATATTTAAATTAAGTTCTATTTACTATTTATATGTTTATTTAGTTTAAGCATATTTAATTAAATATGTTGATTTTCATTAATTTTTTTAAGGTATAAAAAATTAATGTTATTTATTGAAACTATCAGGTACAATATAACTATATCAATGATTTTCTAACGCTATCTCGTATCTCAAAAATGACAATTTTAGAGATGAGGTGAAAAATATTTTATAAAAAATTAATATTCATCTAAACACAATATTTATCAATTGTATTTCCTAAAAATACTATCGTATTTATTATTAATGTGGTTAATATTTTTTTTTCAGTAACGCGTTTATAATTAATTATTAATTTTTTAGTTGAACCCTTTCATCTTTAAAAATCGAGATAATATAAAATAACCTGATAGTTTCAATAAATAACATCAATTTTCATACCTTAAAATAATAAATAAAAAATCCCCCATAAAGAGCTCTAATTGTTACCTTGTTCAAATTAAAACACTTTGAATACATTATTAATTAACTAAAATGAATTTTTTTGTTGCAGATACTCATGAAGACGATGCCTACATCTATGTTTAGACTATTGACCGGTCAGGAGTCTCCAGTATATATATAAAAAGATAAATATACAGTTGCGTATATATACATAAACATTCATACAAATGAAAATAAAAAATTTGAGGATAATAATAACAAAAATACTTATGGGAGAGAAAATTTTCTCAGTTGCCTGGTCGTTTTGTTATGTAGTGCAAAAGACAATACAACCGCCATCCACTATCGTATATTCTATATCTCCATCACCCGTAAAAGGCTTGTTCCAACGTGGTGAGAATCACCTTTGTATTCCAGTCAACCGGAACAGTCTTCTGTACTCAAGCTTTCAAAAAAAAAAAAAAAAAAAAATATAAAAAAAATATTTACGTAAGCCATAAATTTGAAGTATAGTGACACGTAGCGAGTAAGCAAATAAAAAAGCGAATAATTACGAGAGAGTGGAAGAAATAAGAGTGGAATAAATGTTAATGTTTAAGTATTTAATATTAATATATAATTTATATCGATCATCATCATAGATAGATATGTTATATATAAATATATGAATTATTATTGAAAATAATCATACTCTGATATAAAAAAACAAAATTATCGGGCGAATTGGGATTTTCTATAGCAAATCACAATTTAAAAGTCAGTATCAAATTTTCTGAGCTTGAGATAATGTAATTAAGAATGTTTGAGCTTGATCGCTGAATCTCAAGAGACTAGTTGATGATTTATTTATTTAAAGTAGCTTTGCATAATATTTAGCCTATGCAAAAAAAAAAAACAAAGATATAAATATATAAATAAATAAAATATATATAAAAGAGAAGATAAGTCTCTCATTGATCACAAAAAAATTGAATGATCGAGTGAATGACTACTCAGAGTCTCACTAATAAATATTAACATTAATAATAATAATAATAATAATAATAATAATAATAATAATAATAATAATAACGCCAAGGAAAATGATAGTTAATTGAAATGCACATGATTATAAATAGCACAAAGCTCTTAACGTGTGTCGTTTTGAGCAGGGCTGAAACAAATAAATAAAAAAACGTGTATATTATATAAATGAATACAATACGTAATTTATGAATTTATCTAGCAGTTATTTCTAAAAAAAAAAAAAAATAAATAAAATTGAAAAAAATATATATAAATTAATAGTATTAAATATTATTATTATTATTATTCTCACTTTGGAGATAAAATCTACGTACATTCCTTCATTTAAACTTATATATAAATTAAGTGCTTGAGAGATAATTAATGTTTAAAGTAATAATAATATATGGTGCCCGAGATTATTCATTTATACTGGATACGAAAAACATAACTAATAAATAAATAAATAAATAAATTATCATAAACATTTATAATCATAACAAAGTGATATACGTAGAGCACACCAAAAAAAAATTTCAGTCAGACAAGTTAATATATATATATATATATATTCACATTATTAATTAAATAATGATTTATAGAGTAGCTTATCTTGTAAAAGCCGATGTTTTAAAATCTTTGGCTTATGTTATGTATTGATATCCTTGATAATGTGTTCTAAATCCTATTATTTAAATATTTTATTTAGACTCCGGACTTATTCTATTGCCATTGAGCTTCCATTTCATACAATGCGAAAGCTCGTGAAGGAGAAAATCAAATGATAAGATAAAAGCCCAAAAAGAACAATGGATAAGAATTATTTATGATCTCGTTGAACCGCCGGTACTGCTTTTATTCACGTGTATTATACGCTAAATCCTAGCCTTATCATCTTCATTCTCGTTATTAAATTTCTAATAATAATAATAATTATTATTATTTTTATTATTATAAATATATAGATGGTAAGTAATTCCCGTAGCTTCTAACACAAAGAGGACCGTAATAAAGAGCTATTTAATTACAGTAAAATAATAATTATTATTACGTCTTCTCGCGATTGATATTGTTAGACTGAAGGTGGAGAAAATTATAAATCAAATTTTAATAGGTAAAATTTTTTTGTTAATTAAAAAAAAAATCTTAAATTAATACACTGGTGGTGCTCTTGAAATTTAGATACCGCTCCTAATAGTCCTAATAGTAAGTTTATATAATTATAACACAAAAAAAAAATTATAAATCTTTACTTTTTGTTCAATCGGCTTTTTAAAAAATCTATAAACATATTTATATACATATATAATATATATATTTATTATTAGTGCGGTGCAAGCGAAGGTAAATAATAAATCTGGTGATTGATTTAAAATTTAAATTTCGATGTATAAATAATATTGATTTATTAATTAATTCACGTTAAAATACGCGTGCGTTTGAATTGTTAAAATGATTATACTTGGATATATATTATATATATACATGAATATATAACTAAATATGAATATATATTTATGCGCTTGTAAAAATGGAAGGAAACTCTGGCATGGGAATTTGGGATCCATATCTTTTATGATACTATTCGAACGGTATGATTATATATATATATATATATATATATATATATATATATATATATATATATATGTATGTATGTATATTATGGGATCAAAAAAAAAATAAAATGTTACATAGTAGGTGGGTGGCTGAAAAAAAATAAATCTAGTCATTAATGCTGAAAAGACCGGAGTTAAATATAAATAAATATATATGTTGTAATGAAAGGTAAAAATAATACTCAATGAAGCCATTAAAAAAGCCACCCTGACTGATAACCGATGCACGTTTTATTAATTAGTTTCATCGTGAGAATTTTGCCATACTAATGCATATTGATAAATAAATAACGATTAACAATAGACCTCGTGACGTTATCGAGATGTTAATTCGTTTTATTTCTGATTGCATCGCGACCTGCTTGAATATAAAAATAATGTAACAAAATAAAAAAAAATTGTGACCGAGCTCACACGGAAAAAATAAGATGTCACTGGATATCATCCTAGATTTTACTCAGTGATATCTGTCGTGAAAAAAAATGTCAGATACACAGTAAAAAAATTTGCGTCAAAAAATTTTGTGTTTAAAAAATTTTTTTAACAAATTAATAACAATAAAAAAATGCTTCTTAAAATTTTCACTTGTAATTTTTAATAATTTTTACACATGGAATTTTTTAATTAATTTTTTTTTATAACAATTTAATTGCTATAAAATTCTAAAAAAATTTTTAATGTCTGTCATTAAATTTACACATAAAAGTGTTAAATATTTAACACAAAATTTTTTGACGCAATGACGCAAAATTTTTTACTGTGTAGTAGCTAGAAAAATCCAGATTATACTATGTGATATCTGAATTATACTAGTTACTATCTAAAATTTTTTTTTACTCATAATCTGGAATGATATCCAGTGTAATCTTGTTTTTTCCGTGCAGCTCATCATACTGTTATATTTTTTAAGTATCTTTTGTATGTTTGCAAAGTTAACTATTAATTATTAATTTTTATTATTTCTTCTTTATCTATTTGTATTTTTTAATTTAAATAATCTGACACACGTCATGTATACGCACTTAACTTTACAGTGCTCATCTCTTTATCTAATTTTGTGTGAAATATATAAAGTTAATAATAATAATAATAAATCTATATTATTAATTTATAATATTAATGATCATTAGTAAAAAGAATAAAAATAAATAATGAAAGAAAGAGAAGAGATATATATGTAAAAGAATTTTTTTACGACATCATGTTGAATGGTGGCGGATGAATATCGGTGTTTAAAGTGTTTTTAGACTTAGCGCCAATACTCACCTCTCCATTTATTATTTAGAATGACAGAATATAAATTAATAATAATAATAATAATTAAATAATAATGATAATGATTTAAAATCAACGTCGGCTGTTAATAATTTCTATATAGAAAGCAAGTAATAATTGATGCGAAAAAATAAATTAATTAAAATAACAAAAAAAGATGCATAATAAAATAATAAAATGCGATATTTGTAATTGAATTAAATATTTATGTAAAGCTGTTTGAAAAAAAAAAAAAAAATCAGTCACGATTAATTTTAATGCGTAAGTTAATTGGGAATTGTAAAAAAATTCATTTGGGTGAGTGACTAATTAATTAATTTATCCAAATGAATTTACAGTGTCATGTTATGTTTAAGAGTAAAATAATAAAAAAAAAACTAAATAATAACTCAATAAACAAACTGAAATGATTATAAATAAATTGAAAAGCCCGCGCGTTAATTTATAATTATCTTATTACCATGCTAGGGCTTGCGTTGTAGCTTGAAAAGTCGTGAAAAGCACGCTACAAAATGAAAAATAATAAATTAATAAAAATAAAAAATAAAAAATCATCACGACTATCTTTATCAATTTGTGAGTGGTATAATTATAAGTTAATAAATTATCAGTGAGCTATTGAATGTGTATATGGTAATAATTATTATTATACTAGTCCACAGAAATGTAATTTTGAATTCAAAAAAAAAAATCACTAAAAAATTACATGAATTTTTTCAACTAATTATTTTTCGCTCGTTAAATCATAATATTAAATTATTTATATGTTCCTTTTATTATTTTATTAATTACTTTATTTTATTTATAAAATACGATGAGTTTACATATTTTTAAAGCAACATTCAAACAATCAATCAATTCATCAGACGTCGAAGAGTATTTCAGATAAATGCAAACGTCGTCTTATCTTATTCCGACAAGCAACCGATCAAATGGTTATTATTATTATTATATTATTATTACTATTAATATTATTTTTTTTTCTTCAACTTTTTTTTGCGACATTTCAAATGCAATAAACGAAAAAAAAAACCACTGTCGCGACTGTACTTGATAATTATATTTTAATTAATTCTATGTACAATAAAAAGGACAGGAGGTGTGAAAGCACGGATTTATCACAAACCGGAAGAAAATAATTTAAATAGTATCCACACTGTTATTGAATTGAATTTTTTTTACGACCTGGGTACATTATTATCAATAAGCATAGCTGTGTTTATTTTATATTTTTTCTTTTTCATTTAAATATCCTTAATACTGTACACCTGGAATATGGCCCGATGACCAAATGCATTCAATATCATTTATTTTATTCGCTTTTAATCCAGCCATCCTGATCGTGTGTGTATTAAGATAAATTTTTATTTTTTCATACAAGACTAAAGACTCTTTATCCAATAATCCAATTACTTTATCAATTGTTGCTGATTTTATTATTATTATAGTAATTAATATTTATTGTTTTATTCTTTAGTCATTATTTTAAATATAAGCATAATAGTATTTTTTTTTTTTCAAACAAAAAACGTGCTTTAGAGTGCTTCTTTAAATTAAAAAAAAAACACGTGTAAGCATTTATATAATTATTTTTTTTTATCTTTTTAATTCATACTTGAATTTAACTAAATAATTTTTTATATTAAATCAACACAGCTTTACTCCGGATTCACTAAAATAATTGAATAATTTAAAAAAAAAAAACTACTCAACTTTTTCACTAAGGTAAAAGACCCAGTTATTGACACTTGCAATTTTATTTGAATTAATTAAAATAAATCGACTTTAATAAATTAATAGATATAATTTTTGAATTATAAATTTTAAGATAATTGATTTTTTAAGAACATTTTATTTTTTTAATTAGAGTAAAATTGCAAGTGTCAATAACTGGGTCCTTTACCTTACTCGGTACTAACTTTACTCAGTACTAACTGTATTCAATGCTATTTTGACTCAAGAGTATATTAGAAGTGTTGACGCGCTTTTAAAAATCTCATTCAATTTTTTTTTTTTTTAATAATATTTTTACTTTAAATAAATTAAAAAAAAAACTTTACTCAATAATTTTATTTTTAAAAAATAAAACTCTATTGTTTTACAAACTATTCAATGTCAACTTTACTCAATTATATATAATTTATATATCCATATACACGGAAAGAACAAGATGACACTGGATATCATCTCAGATTATATTCAGTGATAACTAAGGTGAAAAAAAATGTCAGGTAGTAGCTAGAAAAATCCAGATTATACTCACTGTAATCTAGAGTATACACTGTAATCTGAATTATACTAGCTACTATCTGAAATTTTTTTTCACTCAGTATAATCTAGAATGATATCCAGTATCATCTTGTTCTTTCCGTCTACAGTAAAAATTTTTTTTTTCAATTTATTAAATTATTTTATTGGAGTACAAATTGCACACAGCTGAGAAATTTTGAGTACAGTTTTGTTTTTGCCGAATAAAATATTATTAAACAAAAAAAAAATTGGATAGAGATTTTTAAAAGCGCGTCAACACTTCTAATATACTATTGAGTCGAGAAATCATTGACTACAATTGGTACTGAGTAAAGTTAACGTTGAGTAAAGTTTTTTTTTTTTTAAAGTTATTCAATTATTTTAGTGGAGTACAGTATGTCGCAGAGTTGAGTAATCCGGAGTAAAGCTGTATTACTGCCAATCAAACATGAAAGAAAAAAATATATTGATAAAAATATATACCAAAACATTTGATACATTGCACAACAATGTAATTGATAAATAAAAATAGTGTATCAATTTTTACTGCATGGAATTTTTTTTTATAAAAAAAAAAAAACTAATAAATTTTTTAATCCCGGTTGCTTAATAAATTTTTAATCTAAACTAGCAAAAAATAGGGCATTGGACGAAAACAACAAACGATTATTTATATAAATTTTGTTGCAAAATCATCACTTGCTGCCTTTAAAGTACAGCCTTAAATATATATATTAGATTATTTGTTACTTCAGCTTCTGTTGGATTTGTTTTTATTACATAATGCATTGTTTATTGTTTTAATTCTTTGTCTTAAAAAATTTATCTTTATTTGCATAGCAAAATAGTGTCCACGGGTGGTGAATATGGTAGAAGACCAACGTGCCAGGTTAATTGCAATATTAAGTCGCTGATAATTGTCGAACTTGCTGAGGATGACAATAACAACAACAGCAACAACACGTTGGATGCTGGATAATAACGACAAGGCTGAGATCAGTTGTCCATTGCGTATCTACGGGTCCACTCTTTGGCATTTCGAATAGCTTCGCTTTCATTTACCTTCCATAATTCAGCAACATCGTTAGCTAGAGGATCATCAGGATTTGGTGCACTCAACAGTGCTTGTATAGAAAGCAAAACTGTTCTTATCTGTAGAGCTGGACTCCATTTGTCTTTCAGTATGTCTAAGCAAATTCTTCCAAGCCTGAAAAAAAAAATTTTATTTAATGTTTTTTAATCTACTTATAAATTTATTTTTACGCCTCTTGTAATTTATTAATTTTATCAACAGCGATAAGAAGTTATTACGAAAACAAATTAACTTAGTATAGTTTCATTCTATAATCTTAACAAAATTAATTTATAATATTGATTTTGTAATTTTAATTACCTGTCAATATTCGGATGATAAATTTTAGTAATAAACCTAACTTTAGGTGCGCTCATTGGATAATCTTCTGGTAAAAACAATTCTAGTTTAAACAGACCACCTTCAAAGGGTGAATCCTCTGGCCCGGTGACAATAACATGGAAATACCGGGCATTGGTTTCATCTGGTACTGCACTGATGCCAGGAACAGGCTCCTGCATCAATCTCTGTGTTTCTTTAATGATCCTTCTCGGCAATGATGCCATGTTTACAGTTTAATTCTATAACAAGCAAAATAATCACTTAGAAAAAAAAAATTTTTTTTTCATAACGTGATTTACGTTCTTATCCATGATTCATAATACATTTAATCGGTTTTTTTATTTTATTTATTTACTTCTGGTAAAAACATTCTATAGAGGTGCAAAATGCACCTGTGCATAGACACCAGAAAAATATAATACATTTATAAAATTAATCTATACTAATAAATGGAGAGCCGGTTTTTTTTGTCCGGTTATACGGCGAAAACTACTGAACCGATCGGAATAATTTTTATACCATAAGAAGGTTTTAGTATATGATATGGTGGTGATTACTTATCCGGAACCTATATTTTTTTGACTTAGAAATAATGAATTTTTATTGTAACTAAATTTATTCTATTTGATTGTCATTTGTTTAAAATAAATTTTTTAATTCTATTGTTTATGTTTATATACTAGGCAGATTTCTTCACTTATGATACCTGCAATTTCTTTAACTGAAACTTTCAATGCTCATTACAATTTTTTTTTTTTTGATATCAATATTAGCTAGAATAATTACATGGATAAAAGGTGCATGCCAATTCGATAGAATTGGGAATCTGTGCAAGTCAAAACAATACTCCAATTAAATTTCAAGTCTAGATCTAAAAATGCAATTCTATAAAGCGCCCAGCAGAGCGGGCGAGTAACAGCTAGTTACAGTTATACATAAATTTAACAATTGATGTTTGTAATTAAGGTAATTTTATCAAGTGTATTTTAAATTAGTTTAATTTCATCTGTTAATTAAATTATTACTAATTGTTTATATCTATTTACATATAACTAAATTGTAACTGTTTGTTGTAGTACCTGGGGAAGCTGCGAAAGTGGCAAAATATTAAATATTCTTAAAACAAGAACCGATTGAATGTATTATTCTTAACCTCATAAGTCATAACATTACTCAGTACTTTTTCTCAGTCTCTAACTAAACAGTACATGACTTTCATGCAAATTAATCAATGTAGTGTTAGGTAACATTAAAATACACATTTAATTTTTTAACAATATAATTTTTGTCAAGTTATCCATTAAGAGCCAATAAATTTTTAAATGGAGATCATGACCTCCAATGCCAAAATAAAAAACTATTAAGTTTTTCTTGGGATATAATTTTAAAAACCAAGTCACGGGTTTGCATGACAGATTATTTTTTATGACTATTTTTATTTATTTATTTATTTTTTTTAAATTGCAATTTTATTATTATTACCTAAAATAAGAGAAAAAAATGCTAGCGAGACGCCGATGACTATAAAAGCGGCACAAAAAACCGCAAGAGTTATTGCAGCTAAAGTATATAGTAAAAATACTTAGAAAACATTTATTTAGTAAAATAAAATTACTTGAACGGTACATACCTCTCTTACGATAAATAATGCCCGCGTTGAACCCGGGTTACAAGTTACTGGGACGGGTGTATTATTTATTAAAATAGATTTAAGTATCCAAGTATGAAAAAAATAAATTTTTCAATCAGTATACAACACAACACGATGATGGTGGTGATATTGGTTTACTAGTTGTATTACGGGTATTACGATTACGAATGATGTTGAATGTTGATGATGGTGATTGTGTAGTCACTTGTACTTGCACAGTATTTTTCTTTCTTTCAGTTTCAGGTTCAGTCGTTTCGTCTCGTCTTCTTTCTCACTCCTAGAAACTTCCAAAAACGTGCAAAAACGTAATGAATATGTGTCCAATACAACTAAACACAACCAAATGTACAAGTGCTGTAATACTAAATATACTTACTTACACAAAAGAGACAACAAGATATTACTTTTTAATTACGGACAATGACAAGAGATTTTTAATGTGGCGGGTGTTTTTAAAATTATCTATACTCCAATAAAATTCACTATTTCAGGGGTTTATTTTATTTAAAAAATTATTAATAATTGCTGACGGTAAATTTATTTACTTAAATCCAATTATTTAATTGAATTTTGTTTTAAGAAATATGAGTAACGAGTAATGAGTGCGATGCACTCTCGTATTACATCCTCCCGATGGCGCTGACGTCTTATTTTGTTTTTTATTATTATCATTATTTTTTATTCCAAGTTTATTGCTGTTGTCATCTTGCGCTTTGATGGTTTATCAATGGATCAATGGAAGCTTCTAGCACTCCCTCACGATCCGCATACCAACTAGGAGCAGAGGGGAGTGAGGAACTGCAAAAATATATCTATGAGGCATCTAGTTTTTACGAGTGTAACTATTTAATTTGGTTATTAATCATTCGCGACGTTACTGCGCGTTGGCGGGAATTATTTGAGTGTATAATTTTTTTTTATGATACTGAAATCACCTTTAATGACTTTCAGTTTTTTTTTTTTAATTAAAAACAAAAAATAAAAAAATTTTTAAAGTGAAAGTTAAAAAAAAAATTTTTTTAAATGACTCTGCAGTGTTGACAGATATCAGAATTTTTTTTACAATTTTATAGGAGTGAAATTATTATGAAAAAAATTTAATAAAAAACATTCCGCATGTGAAAATTTTTGAAAGTATTTTTCAAGTGTAGTTGATTCGATATAAAAATTTTTAAAATTGACAGCTGTCAGCTAACTTCAGTATCATTTTTAACATCAATTTATTTTATAGAATGAAACAAAAAAAAATTATAAAATGTCAGCTGATTTTTAGTATCTTTTTTTTTTTTTATAAAATTAGAACTGTCAATAAATTATGATATTAAAGTTAGCTGTCACTTTACAATTTTTTAATTTTATTTAATTAACAAAAAAATTTGTTTGAAAAAATTATTTAAAAAAAAATTGCATTTTTTATTTTTTAAAATTTCTACATGTCAATTTTTTTTTTGCCATAATTTATTTGTTATAAAATTCTAAAATTATTAAATATATTCTAGATTAATTTTCATTTATAAATTACTTAAATATAAAATTTTTGCTATTATACATACTCAAAAAATAGAAACAAGCACATATTTCCAATTCCGCGCTCCTTAAATTGTCAAACAAGTCATTCTTAAGCTCCCACACAGATAGCAATAGTCGAAATTTCTTATCTGTGATTACTTCAGTGAATTATCAATATTTATATGAATTTAATTGAATTTTAATGAGGAAAGATGAATAGTATGTTTGTTTTGATAAAATTCTACAATTTAAAAATGATCAAAACATTAATTGTAGGAATAAATAGGTAACACAACTTTTCTTGATCTTCAGCATGCATTGCTTCTATTTAAATATAAATAAATATTTAAGAGAATTGTAAATGAAATTGTAATTTGAAATGACAGATATCTGCTAACTTCAGTGTGAGGTTGCCAATAAAACAGTTACTTTGATTGCGCGCTACTGTTGCCAACAATAAAACACCATTTCAATGTTGTCTTTTTAGTTTGCAGATAGATAAAGAAAGATAAAGATAGCCTAATGTCAACTTGATTTGTTTGAAAGGTGTCACACGATTGATTATTTCTCGAATCAGTTAGGTGGCTAGTTTTCGGACTGTTGTTATGTTGGGATGAAGAGCCTACATGTGATTCACGTGATTTTATAAATAATATTGAATTTTACGGTATTTATTTAATAACATGTAAGTATTTGTCAATAATAATAATAATAATAATGATGAGTAATTTAATCTGTACACAGATAGAACAAGACTCATTAATAATGTAATGACAAATTTAATTTATTAAAAATGCGTGGGCTCCAAGGTTTCACGTGACAGCTCAAAAAAACACTGAAATATTAAAATATACAGTTTATTATTTTATTTATATTTATATTATTTTGAATTAATTGAGTTTAATCAATGTTTATATTTTTTTTTTCTAGATTTAGAATAATGGCAGATGTAAGATTGTTAATTCGTGAAGAAGGTAGAACAGCTAGAAATCTGGTTGCATTTAATGTACCAGTGGGTACTAATAATAATGAAAGAGTTACCAAAAAACCACCAAGTGTTCCACGAGTAATTTCGTCTACTAATATGAAAAGGAATATTAAAACTTCAACAAGAGTACGATCAGCGTCAACTGGTCGTGATAAAAAATCTGGTAATTTTATTTATTTTTTTATGACATATGACAACTGCTATATATTATTATTAATAAATGCAGTAGAGTGTATTTAAAATCTATCGAATGTTTGCTAATTTTATTATCTTCTTTTACTGTGATTATATATTTATTTATGAAAATAAAATTAGCAGACAGCTGATTATTTTCAGAATTTTTTATTTTAATAAAATTATTACAAAAAAATGAATCGAAAAAATTACACATGCAAAAAATTTGAAAAACTATACGTGCAATTTTTTAAAAATATTTTTTTATTGCTAATTCAATTAATAAAAAAAAATTAAAAATTTTTCACTGTCGGTTAATTTTAGTTTTATATTTATTTATTTACTTAGTTTTAATACCAAGGCGTTAAGCCCAATAGCAAATTTTATATACATAGATAATGTTCAAATAAGTACAATAAATTTTGGAGTATTACTAAAATATTTAAAACAGATTGCATTTAAAAATAAAAATATGTGTGTATACTAGAGCACACAGGAAAGAAGTAAAACTTCTTTATGATATATCATTTTTTTACTATTGACAACTTCACAGAAATTGGGTGGATAAGGCTTAAGAAAAAAATTTTTTTCCGTATTAGATCAAAGCTATTTTAGTTTTATAGACATGCATACAAATAACATAAGTAATTCATTTTATCATTGCTCTTATTATAATTATTGTATTTCATCAATTATAATCGCATCGTAATTACCATTGTTGTCATTATTTAGACTCTGCTATTATTTAATCTAAAAATTAGTTAATCAGCTTACAAAAATTATATAACGAATTTTAATATTCATATTTCATGTCATAACTTAGTAAAAATAATTCAAAGCAGTTATTTAATAACTTATTCAATTACACAAATTATGAGTAAATAATTTGAATTATCTACTTAAAGTAATACAAGATATGACGAGAGTTAATCTTGTATATATGCAATGATTTTATATAATTCAAAATAAACAAATAAATCATTAGAAACGAATAATTAATAAAGATTTACGCATACATATTTTTATTTTATAATTGTGTTTTGTTTTATTTTTAATTAAATTATTATTTAATTTGTTTTTTGAATTGTTTTTAGAATTAATATTTACAGCATACTAATTTCTAACTATTCATTACTTAATAGAAAATCAAATAATTTAATTTTGAAATAATTTTTAATTTTTTCTTGAATTTAGAACTGCAAGCAAGATACTGGGCTTTTTTATTTGGAAATTTACAAAGAGCTGTTGATGGTATTTATCAAACTTGCGAAGAAGATGAAAACATATCAGAGTGTAAAGAAGTTATTTTAGTATTAGAAAATTATACCCGTGATTTTCATAATCTTATCGAGTGGTTCAAAGTTAAATGGGCGTATGAAAATTCACCACCTCCATTGAGACAAGCTCCACTTGCTTGGGAAGTAAGAAAAACTTCACCCTGTAGAATGTGGAATTCTTCAGTAGCTAAATGCTCTAGTCCGCCACAAAGATTGAGTCCAACGTGTCAAAGTCCAGATGATCAGATTGTCGAGAATAAAATTTCAAGTAACGCTGAAAAATTATTAAATTCTATCCGCGATGCTTGTGATTACAGAAGAATTAAAGACAACAAAAATTTATCGAGAAAAAATCCAAGTAATTTAAAAGATACACGAAGAAGTTCTGTAGATCGTGACAGTGATAGAATATGTAGAGAATTCTCGTCAGTTAGTAAAGTTGGAAGAAATTTTATTAAATCTTCGACGGCTAATAGAATAATTAGTAATGTTACCAGTAAAAAATCAAATGAAATAAATTGCGATGCTAAAAATACTAGTGTCAATAAAGAGAATAAAAGTAATGAAACTGGAGCACTTGAAAGGATTCACAGTGTAGCTGATATAGAGAGAATTAAAAATAAAACCAATGGAACGTTAACTGAATTATCTAGAGTTGAAAACGACAGAGTTTCATTGGACAGTAAAAATGTGAATAGAAATACTTCAAATAGTTCTACAAGACCCAGATCTACTCCGAATCCTTCTAGACCGTATGCTGCTGTTTCGCAAGCCCAAAGATCGACGAGCCAACTGCCTGAGGCACCGAAAATAATCAGAAGCAAGACTAGCTTGAATGTCCGAGAAGTGTCGAGTGTCAGCAAAGCCAGACCAGGTTCTTCGGTGATGGTTAGAAGAAGGTTACAGCGGTTGAGAAACGATAGAACTTTAGAAGAGTCCAGTGATATCAGTGGGTCCGTTGAGGTACTGTCCAAACAAACTGCTAAGAGCAGAAAATCTTCGGAAGACAGCGATGGCTGGCAGACAGTACGTGGTAGGTGTCGACGAGGAAGTTCTCATAGTATGAGCATGTCTACGAGATTCCATCGACCAACCACTGCAACTTCTTTGCCCGCATTGTCAATTGAGAGTCCGAATGAGAAGAGAAAAAAGAATGTTATTTCTGTTTCTAACGCAACGTCAAACAAAGATTTTGCTGGTGAAAAAATGAGCATGATTAAATTTGATGATAAGGGTAAAAATATATTTGCAATTAATGGTAAGCAAAAATCATTTGATGACGAGTCTAGAAAAGAAAATTTAGTGCCAAATGTTGACTGTGAAACCAATTCAACTTCTGTAATCGCAGCGATTTTTAAAAGTGAAGCTGAGTTACTTGAAAAAAGAATTCAACAGTTTATGACCGCTCAAGCTGAACGAGAAAGAATTATTTTAGAGGAAGAAAGAAGGACAGAAGAAGCTGATTCTAAAAGATCTCAACAATTGTCTGATGAAGAAGCTTCGCTTCAAAGGCAAATTAAAGAGTTAGAGTCTACGGAAATTGACATTGATACGGAAACAGATGAGACAGATGGAGAGATGATGCTGGAGATTGAAGAAGATGAAATTCCTGAAACTATAAATGAAGTTGTTGATGATGATATTAGTCTTGAGGATCGCTACGAGAATATGTTAGAAGGCATGTCTTGGGCTGAGCGAGTAGATACTTTAGCGCAATTACAAGCTTTAGTTGCTAGGCATCCTGGTAGAGCTCTGGAACTTCATCAAAAACTTTCTTCACCGTCTAGGAAGCGATCTTTGCCGGAAACTTTGAGAAGATATCAAGCCAAACAGGCTTGTGCTCAACACAAACGTTTGAAACTTCTGTCAGAGAAGTCGCAGCGTCTTCGTGAACTACTTAATAAAGTTGAGGATGTTAAGAGGGCCAAGGACCAGTTGACAGAAGACAAGAGGCTGAGAATGGAATTGAAGCTCAAGAGAGCTGAAGAGAATCGGACCCAACATTTGTTGGAAGTTGTACGGAAAGCTCATGATGAAGATTCTAAGTTGAAGGAAATAGCTTTTATAAATGAACTGGAGGCGCAGAATAAGCGGCATGATTTTATGGCGCTTTGTCAAGAACAGGAGGAACGTCTTCAGGGGATTCAGGAGGAGAGACAAAGAAGGCAGGAGGAAAAAGCGGCGAAAGAAGCTGCTGCTGAAGAGCGGAGACGTGCGTTAGAGGCTGAACGACTCTTGAGGATCCAGAAGATGCGACAGACGAGACGTGAGCGGGAAGAGCGAGTGGGTAAAATGCAGCTTGAGAAGGAAAAAGAGCGACTGGAGTTGGCTAGGGAGAAAGCTAGGGATCGGGAGGAACGTCTGAGTGCGCTTCATGCTGCTCAGCTGGCCAATCAGGAGGAATTGCAGAAGAAAATTGCGCAAAAACAACAGGAGTCTGCTAGGAGGCATGGAGAAAATATTGAACATATTAGACAGCGCGCTGTTGAATTATCCATTTTAAGGATGGAGGAAATACCACCGACGTTAAAATTTTACCCGGCTCAGAAGCAATGCTCGCTCTGTGGGACTCTGATACTCAATGAGGTCTGTTTAGTTAGTCATTTGAAGGGAAAACAACACTTGGAGGCTGTTAAAAAAATGCATGATGGTAGAGAACCGTCCCGAGATGATTTACACAAATTTAATATTGCGCAGATCAAAGACATCCAGGTGTCTAGTGTTGGTGATGATAAGGCTGCTAAAGAGAAGCAAAAAGCCTTGAAGAGGAGAAGTAGAAAACTTAAACAGCGGATGACAGCTCGAGGACAAGAGTGGAAAAATTCACAGGGGGAAAATGGACAAAATCTTGAGTCGAGTAATAAAACAAAGTTGAGGAGGAATTTGAAGGAGTTGGATCGATTGTGTAGCAGTCATGGAAAAACTACATGGTCAAGTGTTGCAATTGCTGGGCTTGAGAGGTGCTTAGGAGAAATTGGAAGGATCTTCAATAAATCTGTAAGTTTAATTTATGTTAATTAAATTGATAAGATATTAGTTTACATAAGTGATTAATGGAAAAATTTGGTTTCGATTTTTAGAGTTCTGTTGATCAAGATGTCTTTCGATCGCTAAATGGATTTGAGACTTTGACTAATTTATTAAATCTCGGTGTTAATATTCAGAATAATTCTCACACTCTGCCGAATAAGTAAGTAGTCTTAACATTACTGTAAAACGTTTTTGAATTATAAAATTCATGAATAAGAAGAATATGATTGAATTTTTTTTAATAAATTTCAGGAGTATCATCTCAATTTGCCGGATCTACAAAGCCAGTGTCAACGATCATTCAAGTAACATCGAAGCTGTTTTACTTAGCAATAAAATTCTTACGATTCTGGATCTTCTGTTGCAGAGATTTGAGGTAAGAGGCCATTCATTAAACCTTATGTTAGTAACCCACCGCGGTGTATTTATGTGAATAACTCAAAGAAAATTCAATATTTTATTCAAAGCTCGAATTGTCATTTTTTAACTCAAAATAAAGTTAGTTGTGAGAGCATTTAATATATTTATTTTTAAATAAGCTTAAACTGTAAAGATGGTTACTAACATAAGGATTAAATAATTTTTATTGCTTATTGAAAAAAAAATAATTTACTAAAATTTCATGTTTTTATTTTTATTCATGTTTGGTTTTATAGAAAAAATCATAGTACATTTTTCCGTGCATTATCATATTTTTAATACTTAGATCAAGAATGTTACGTAAGAAAGGGAGGGGAGGGGTCAAAAGTCCCCAAAATTATTCTTACGTAGTTAATGAATGGCCCTTAATTTAATTTAAATTAAGTATTAGACGATATTACCCATTAGGTTTTTGTCCCAATACTCTACAAGTGTCGTATGAGGTCATGAGATGTCGCTAAGAGCACTATCAATGCTCGAAAGCGGGATGTTTTTATATTCCTATTTAATCAGTAAAAAAAATGATCAACAAGAAGAGCCAAATGAGAGAACAGCCAAGTAACGCATAAATCAACGTTAAAATAAAGAAAAAGTAAAAATTATGTTAATGCTTCCAGATAGACGTAAAGATACGTTGTCTTCCTTTTTACCTCACTCGTATGTATAAGCCGGTGACGCCAGGGCAGGCTTCTTGTCTTGTCAAAATAAGGATTAAGCATTTTAAGAAGACCTAGAACTGGAGTAATCTCTTTACTTGTCAAAAAGACCATCGAGTCCCTTGATTTTATAAAATAAATAAAATTCTTGGACATAAGATGACACACACACACATAGTCACACTGATACATTGGTCTGGATGGCGGTGACTGGTCCACCAGTTGCTTCTTTATTTCACATTTGCGTCTGATAAAAAACCTATAGATCACTTGCTCAAAAATTTATCGTGAATTCATAAATATGAGCGGCCACAAATCAGTAAATGCGACAAAAGCGAGACAACAATTACTCATTCTGGATATTCATGCTAGTGCGTGATTTCTTCTTTCCAGTCTCTTTATCTACAACTATCCTCCTCTTTTTTCTCTTTTCTTCTTGCTCTTACTCTTATGTCTGCTATCTCAATTTTAGTATTTGTGTCTGTCTTTCTCTTTTATATATCTACCACTGGTTGTGCTCTCAACTTAACTCTAACTCCGACGGCTGCGATTTCCCCTCAGCAAATGCATTAGCGGCGAGAGAGCTTTTAGCGACGTCACGCACACCATCACATTGCTCAGACTTCTCGACTGTGGTTCTTGGGAAGACAAGGGGCCAGAGGAAGGAAGAAAGAAACAAACTGAATATCAAGAGTGCATATAGAGAAGAAGTGGGAAATAAAAAGAGAAAAATAAGTAATAAAGACGAGTAGTCATCATCCTCGACAACATTGTCGTCGTCCTCGTGGTCGTTGTAGTATGTAGTATGTAGTATGTACTATGTCACATGTGGATATATATATGCCATTACATGTACACATTTCATCCACTGGACTCGTGGTACTTTCGAGTGGTCGTCATACGAATCGACCTAATCTTTTGTGTCGTAGCTCTCTTTTCAACGACCTATTCACACTCGTGTCGTCGACTATTCCATATCCAATCGTCTCCTGCACTTTAATTTATCTTTCTCTCTAACGTTTACTTTATTCTCTGTCTCAACTTTACTCTCGTGTGTGATGACACTCGAGAACAACGAAATGGCCGAGTTTGTTATTCAACAACGACTCTTGCTTTCACTTCTCTCATAATGCTACCAATGTCCTTTTACAAGCAGTCAATTTCCTTCTTCAAGAGTATAGTAGTAACGACTCTATTATCATTGTTAAAATTAAATTACCGAAATTTTTTACTGATTTATTTTATTGGTAGAAATCCATTGTTGAAAATTTGTGGAATATTTATTTATTTATTATTTAATTTCAATGCCAAGGCAGTATAGCCAAATGGTAATATACAAGAAAAATAGTATAATAGAGTACAATTATTAATGATGAAGATATAAAATTTTTAATTTTAGATATTAAAAAAATCTGGTAATTATTTACAAGTAGGGTCAACCCTATTTTTGGCCATATCTAGGTGAAAAATTAACATTTTTTAATTTTTTTTCTAATTACAGAATTAACATCAGTGATGTAAATACATAGAGATGATAATTGAAGATGATAAAATCATATAACAAAATTGAGTACATGAATATCAATAGTTTAAAATAAAAATTCATTGTCTCGCTTACGCTTCATGAAGAATTCAAAGGCACTCGTCTTGAATATATTTATTTTTTTTTTTTATTTTACAATATTTTAAGCAATAAAAAAAACTCATTTATTGTTCTAACATATTAGCAATAATTTAAATAAGTTAATACTCAATTGAATTTTTGAAGCATGTTTTAATAAAAATTGTTCAAAGTAAATGATGAGTGATAGTGATAGTAATAGCAACGTTAATAGTGGTAGTTTTAATCCGAGTGCTTGGACACAATGAGCAATAATGTCTGAGCAATTGGACCTGGACATATTGTCAAAGGGGTTGTTTTTTATTTTTATTTATTAGCATCTTTTTTCCCAAATATAGAGAAGAGCAAAACTTGAAATTTGTGATAAAACCTAGTGAAAACGTCCCCTTGTAACATCACCGCTGTCCCCTTTATAGTTTTTCTTCTCTTATTTTTTATTTGTCCATTTTTTTCATTCCATTCACTCTAATGAAAGAGTTTGCTCGAGCGTCAAAAAATACGGAAATAAAAGTGGGATGAAATGTCCACATACTGATTTTTTTTTTCTCATTTAAATATTACAGGCGGTTGCTAGTTTGGATGACGCTGCACAGACTCAGGAATCGACGATGAACACCAGTAATGCCGGCGTTGCAACTGCGGCTATTCAATTACTCTGCAGTCTTGTACCAGAAGTGCCTTCCAATAAATCAGTCATACAGAGCCGTCTCAACGACATCATCGGGTGAGTAGCTAGATCAATAAAAACATTCATCAATATTTCTCAGACATAAAATAATTAAACACAGACATTTGTTTTGTCATTTATCTTTATCAGATTGCTTTTTTATTTTTATTTTGTTAAAAATATATCAATGAGACATAAATAGTGAGGACTGTGAGGAATCTAACGGTCTATTATCGTTTCTTACCCCAATATTTTGACATGAAAAGAGCCATAGGCTGTGTTAGTAAGACCACCCTCGTTCCAACATCATGAATCCGTTGGAAAGACCACCGCGAGTTGACCGACAGTAATATAATACTCTTCACTCAGTCAAATTGACGAGACGCAATCTGCTTTAACTGCTGCATTACTACTACACTGTCTAATAGTAGTTGATCCTCATGGCGCCGTTCAACGAAAGACACCTGGGTCAACTTCCTCTTCTTCAGACCCTCCAGCTCTCCCATGAACCCTTTGACTTCATCATGTCAATCTTCTTTATTTTTATTTCCCGTTTTTTTTATTTTTTTTTTTTTTTTTTTTATTATTATTATTATTTTCATTTTTATTATTTTTTGTCATCTTTTCTATCTATTCTCACTCCTTTCAATATTCATTGTACGATTATTATCATGCTATGTATATGTGTATACATTTCTCCCCTTTCTTTTTTATTAAACCAGCGACACTATGCAACAGGAAGGGGGTTGATGTATTATGATTAATTCTCCTGATGCAAAACGACCAGTCATGGCTTTTACTCAGCACGATTGCGTTTTATAAATTAACGAATAAATTTTCTTGGTACTCAATTTTAGAACTTTTAATTTTTATAAAAAATTTTTTTTAATTTATTGTAATAATTAATTAAAAACTTAAAATTTGCAATAGACTGATTAAAAATTTGGTAATTATCAGCAGACGTCTAAAAATTTTTTATTTTTTTTTTTTTAATCAAATTACAACTAAAAAGATATTTCTAAAAAATTGCACTTGTAGTTTTTCAAGTTTTTTACATGTGAAATTTTTTTTTTAATTGTTTAATTGAAATTTTTTCAATAAAAAATTTTGAAATGTCAGCTAACTTCATTTTCATCGCATTTATGATAAAAAATGTCGTGAAAGAAAAAAATAAAGATTTTGATAGCTTTTTTGCCTTCATATGTAGGAAAAAATTTTGACTTTCATGTTTTTGGATAAAATTTCTATTTTATCTTTTTTTGGTATATTTTTTTTTTTTAAAGTACATAAAAAAACGAACAATTTTAAATTCCTTTTTTATTTTATTTAAGATATTTTTTAATTAATTTTTTATTTTTTAAAGTTGAATATCACAATTTTCTAAAAAATTTATAAATTTTTTTGAAAATTTGTTAAAATTGTGATAATCAACTTTTTTTAAGTTCATTTTTTTATGTACTTTTTAAAGAATATATCAATAAAATCAAATAGAAATTTCATTAAAAAAAATGAAAATTAAAATGATTGAGACCCTACTTGTAAATATTTACCAAAAATTTTATCCCAAAAAGTTATAATAAAAAAATTTCATAGACTGTACAAGCTATCAAAATTATCAGGATAGCGATTATGTTGAAAGTGGATCCGGCTTGAGTGTCATTCACCGAGTTCATGGAATATTATGTGAATCGGTGGTTTTGATAAGGTAGATAATGCACTTCGGAGGCACTTGAGACTGGAATTTCAAAGCGAATCAACACCCAAGTGTCTACACGTCCCTGTTTTATCAATTTAACGCACTTATCGCCCATGATTTTTTACCCTTATTTATAGTTCAATTTTGTTTAACAAAATCTTAAATACTTTGTTTCAAACAAGGCCATTACAAGCATTTTTTATCTTTCAGATTTTATGGGTGCTCTCAATTCCCGTATTTAAACGATTTATTTCTCAATACCATTATGTTTCATAAACAAAAATCTGTTGACAACTAAAACTACTTAAGCACAGTACAGTAATAAAATACGCATTAACAATAAATTGAAAACCACTAGTTGATTTAACTTCTATACATTAACTTTATTCCGCTTACGAAAGTTATGATGACACATAAATTAACATTAATTGAAGTGTCTAATGTCAGTGTTGCTTAATTTTATTCTAAGCGTCACGCTCGACTAAAAATACTTTATATAATAATGTATTGATATACGTACTTCACTTGACGACCGATGCTTAACTGCAACTATGTTTAATGTCAATAAAACAACTGCAGATTTAACTATGCAATTAACTTTATCTCAACTCGATTAATTGAAACTCTTTTATGTCTTCATCACTCTCTTAGGATACATTGTAGGTTTATAAATCGGCAGTTATATTACTGCAAAAGGTATTTAATTTAAATAAATTTATTATACACTCTTAATCGTTTATAGAAACAATAAAATTAATTGAAAACTCGGTACGCACTCTATTAAATTTTATGGCCTCATATAGTATTTTTAATTAACTACTAGCAACCTGCAGTCATTATGCGACTACCGAGATTTACGAATTATAAATAAGAAAACTTTGGCTTAATGATTTTTTTCTATTTATAATAAATAATAACACTGTAAATAGTTAAGAGACTTTTTAAATAAATTTTAAAAATAATAGCGCTATCACAGGATCAATTACAAATAATTTAATGGAGAAATGTGACCGAACAAATTTATAGAACTAAAAAATTATTAAAAATTTAACATAAAAAATTGACTACTAAAAAATATATAAAACCAAAAGGCACTAATTCTTATCAAGACTTTTCTGATGATACCAAATTAAACTATAAAAATTTCTTTAAAAATAATAATATGGTCGTCACAAAATTTTCCTTTCTTTCTCAATTATTTAAATCATAAATAACTATCGCTAAAAAATATCAAACCCAATTTATGATAAAGACATACCCGTTACTTAATTTTTTTACTCTCTTAATAATATAAAATAATTTTTGACTTATAACCACATTGACGTGTACAAAACAAAATAAATTTTGTTTATCGCTAAATTCTAATCGATTCATAACTACTTCGAAAACTTATCATAATAAATAAACTATTTTAAAAAAGCATATGAAATATTGAAAAGGCACAACTTCAGGTCAAGACCTTTCCAACGATACCAAATTTAATCATAAAAACTCATTTTATCATATAAATACACTGGCCATAAAATTTCGCGTATTCTCTTAATAATATAGATTTCAGAGTTTTGCGCTCAACACACATTTTATTAACTTTAATATTAAATAAGTCGCTTTAAATTCTTGTTAAATATTTCTCTTAAAGATTTTGATTAACAGAAGGATCAATTGAGCTTTGGTTTGATAATTTTTGAAATAATAAACAAAATACCAAAGTCTTGATACGAAAATCAAAAGGGTCTCGTCAGCGAAACGTGATACAATTAAAATTTGTTATAAAACGATTAAATAAGTAAACATGGCAAACTTATATATAATTACAGTAAAAAATAATTTTTTCTAAAGAGTAAAAATCTTTTTAAAACAAAGACACGTGTAGAGCACGAGGGTTTGGATGAGAAAAAGATAGCGATGGGAGTAAGTAAAAAATAATAAAAAAAGTAAAACATTGAGGGGGTGAATGAGCTAGGCGGGTTGGGTACGTAATCTGCTAATGGACTCTCTCTATTCCAAATTCACCCTCACTTCGGTACGGGTGTGCCATCACCCTCTGCCAAACTTCCTCTTATCCCTCCGATAACTTCCCTCATCCTCTACTTCGTGGCCTTTCTTCCTATTTCATACCCAGTCTTTATCGACTCTGTCACTCGAATTTCAAACCCAGATCTCTAATAATTTAACAATATATATATTATAAAAAATATAAAAACTCATCATCATCATCATCATCAAAATGTAACTAACACTCAAATCAAAGTTTTATTTTACCCAAAAGGTTTTTTAATTTTAACTTTTTTTTTACGTATTATATTCTCAACGCTGACGCATCGTGGGCGTAATTTGCCTGGTCTTGTCTGACCGGTGATCACTGGCACATAAGTATATATTATATATATAGGGTTGGACTTAATAAAAGCAGATGCTCTTTGAACATATCAGCTGTCTTCTATACATTCACTTTCATAGAGTTTTGTTGTAAAATAAAAATATCACATCGACAGTGATTCGATGACTCACTTTTGTTTATTAGTCATTATTATTTTTATAATAATAATTTCTTTCAACTGATCAGCTGGATTTATTTTCAAACTAAATAATCTATATTATTAAGAGAATAAGAAAAATTTTGTTTTCAGAATAGACATATGATAAAATCGGTTTTTTTTTAGTGAAATTTAGTGTCATTGCAAAGGTTTTGACTTGAATTTGTGCCTTTTCGAGGTTTCATTTCATTTTTACGGGTAGTCAATTTATTATGATAAGTATCTAGGGTGCATTCGAAAATACTCTTATAGATACATGATTAAGAAATGACCTTTTATCTTGTGAAATATTGACATTTTTGAATTTATAAGCTCATCCTGATGTTACACTCATTGAGACCTTTCATTTGAGTACCCATATCAATTTTTCATATATTTATATATATTATATATATGTATATATGGAAAATATATCAAAATGCATGTGGGTACTCAAATGAAAGCTCTTGATGAGGATAACATCGGGATGAGCTTATATCTTAAAGAACGTCAATATTTAATAAAGTAAAGAGTAATTTAACAAAAGTCATTATTTAATACAGTAAAATTTTAATTTTTTATAGTTCACAACTCATATAGTGACTGCAAGGTTACTAATAATAATAATTATTATTATTATTAATATTATTAAAATTTTTATTTATAATTGAATATTTAAATATTAACATGAACATGTGATAGCTATTTTTTGATAACGTCTAAAGTACATCTGTTGATGACCTAATTCCTAGACATCGTAACCCATAAAACCAAAGACATAAATTTTTTACTACGATTAATTTATGATCGAACATAAATTATAATTTACAATTATTAAAAATGAAATAA